TTCCTAAAGATTTTTTTAAATGAAATAAAAATGTTTTCCTTACAAGATACATATAACATGTCTACCATTTTAACTATTTTTAAGTGTATAATTCAGTGGCATTAAATTCACTGAAAACATATACAAGGATTGCAGAAGCTTTTCGTCATCTCAGAAACCTTGTGTCCACTAATCAGCTACCCCTCTTCCCTCCCGCCCTCTGGTTCCTAATCATAGGTACCCCACAGAAGTGGAATCAGACAGCATTTGTCTGCTGGCAGCTTTATTGGATAGTGTACAAGGATCTTTGCTTAGTTTTGTAAAAGTTCGTGTTCTAGCATGTGTCAGAATTTTTCTTATGACTGAATAATATTCCGTTATATGTCTATACCACATTTTGTTTATCCATTCATCTATTTATACACACAACTGATTCTACCTTTTAGTTACTGTAAATAATGCTGCTATCAATACTAACATACAAGAATCTATCCGAGTCCCTGCTTTCCTTTTTTTGAATGCCACCACCAAGAAGCAAACCTGCTGGTTCAGAATGATAATCCTGTTTAGCTTCTAAGGAACTACCAAGCTGTCTTCCAGAACAGCTGGTCTATTTAAGACTCCCACCAAAAGTGCACAAATATTCCAGTTTCTCCCCATCCTTGCCAATACTTGTTACTTTCCAGTTTCTTGGTGACAATCACCTTACTGCGCACAAAGTAGTATCTCATTATGTATATGGACTATTAGAATAAAAAACAAATACAAATATTTAAAACACGTGCTGTGTCAAGATACTGCTTTGAACACATTAATGAATTTAATTAATCCTTACAGAGAAGCCATATGAGGTGGGTACTATTATGACCCTCATTGGACAATGACACGGAGACACAGAAAGATCAGTAACATAAAGAGTCACAGTGTAAAGTACATACTATGTCACTACAGGAGGAAAAAACAGAGAAAAAGAGAGTGACAACAAACCTCCAATCAGAGCAAGAAGACTTATTAAATATTTGGACACCTCTCCCTCTAGCATTCTTCCAGTACACTGCAAAACAGGAAGAGAAACAACTAAATACATTCTATCTTCATCCACAAGCATTTGTATATGTTACTGTTAATTCACTGTAACTATTCGCAATGCCAATATACTATTCTCAAAATTTAATTCTTTAATTTTATTCTTAAACAGCACCATGGATCTAATTTCTATTACTGGACATCTACAGCCTCCTCAATTTTTTTCTTAACTATACTTTTAAAACATAACCTACTTACATTGTTAGAAAATTAAAGTTTTATAACAAAAACTTCCCTCTGATTCTGCATTGCCAACAGGAAAACTATGACATGTGTTCTAGCTAGGTAACTTCTCACGTTTCCTACGTCCAGTCCTCTACTCATAGTACCTGATTATCTCACATCTACCTCTACAGTAAACTGCCTAGAGGATACATCTTTCCCTAAAAGCTGAGAGTGCCTGTGCAGAGAACAGTACAGAAATAAACCTGCTGAATTACATACAGGCTTCATAGTACTTTTCAGAGCACAAAAGAAAATTTTTTGCAAAAACAGTATTCATTATTCTTTTTATACTGTCATACGGAGAGGTGACGGTGACCTCACCTACAAACACGCCGATCTGAGCAACGCCAACGCACATTTCCATGCAGTTTCCTTCAGATTTCTGCCTTTTCTAATACCGATCCACCTCTCTATCTAGTAAGTCCGACATCTGGGCCTCCTGAGCCCATTTCTGTGTTTTTCCTAGGGGAAGGCCATCAGTTCCTGTTCCTTCATGGATCTCGCGTTTCCGTCGGGAAGCGGACACTGTAGATAACACAGCCTGGCAGCTCTGGCAGTCGGGTCACTCCCTCCTCTCCAAGTACAGTGTGCTGCTGCTGCTGCTGCTGATTCTCTGGCTGCTGCCGCCAGTGCTGCTTGTTTCTCTCATGATTTTTCTGGACGAATCCTTTAAAACTCACATGCCTTACAGTGTGTGAGGACAGAACTCTCCCTTCAGTCTAGTGTTCAGCTACAGGACTGCACGGAGGTGTGCAGCAGTTTCTGCTTGTCTTAGCCTTCACTTCCTGCTTACAGGAAAGCTCAGGTCAGCCAGAGACGAGGGGTCCTCTCAGGTCTCCTCTGGGGTGCACATCGTCCTGCACGTGGGTGAGGGCTTCTGGACCCCAGACCATTTCAAAAGCCCTCTATGACATCTCGTTCCCCAGTTAGTCCTGTTGAAATTTTTAGCCAAGCTTCTGTTTTCTCATCAGGTGTCATAAACTCAGGAAGCTGAAATGTCCACACTACAGCTGACAGTGGAAATTTAGTTTTTCAATAAGCAATCTCTGAGGCAGATCAAATAACAATTCCCTAGAATGGAGCTCCTCCAGAAACTTTTGGAATCAGGTCAAACAGCAACAAAGTTCTGCAAGTGAGAGTTTCTGAGGAGCTCAGACCTGGCCTGCTCTTCCAGTGACTGCAGGCGCTGACCGTTCTCATGGCTACCCTAGATCTCTGGGCAGGCGGGGTGTAGAAGCAGCCCTGGCCAAGCTATAATGCCCCAAATACCAAGGCAAACACTGTGCTAAGGACTTCACGTCCTAATCAATAATAACCCTATGAGGACACAACTTTTATTACCCCATTTTATAGAACCAAAAACTGAAGCATAGTTCAGTCAAACAAAACAGGGCTCACAGGATAGGCACAATGTTGGTGTCCAATCCCAGTCTACTCTCAATTATCATTCTATGTAACTTTCTTTTGTGAAAAGTAATACAATTAGGGGGCTGGGGATTTAGCTCAGCAGGTATAAGCACCTGCCTTGCAAGCAGGCAGTCGTGAGTTCAATCCCTGGTACCGATAAAAACAAAAAGACAAAAAAAAAAAAAAAAAAAAAGAAAAGAAAAGTAATACAATTAAAGGTGTAGTGGAATATAAAGACACAAGTAACCATTAAATATAAATTTTATAGAATATATTGTGTATACACTATCAGTGAGTTCCTTTAACTAAATCGATCACACAGTTATTAAGTTTGGATATGAGTCATACGGAAATTTGGGGGGAGGGCGGTACCAGGAACTGAACTCAGGGCCTCGTGCTTGCCAGGTAGGCCCTGCGCTGCTGAGCTGTATCCCTGGCTCCCGCACATGGAATGTTTTAAAAACATGACTACAAAATTTCCCCTTTCTTTGTACTATGAAGGACCAAACACCAGCATCTGCATTTTCAAAGGTTTATGGGTTCCAAACTCAAGGCCACCCAAGAACTACGGCCGACTCTAAGACTCCTTATGTCGGAACTGTCACCAATGAGTTCACCATCTCGCTTCACAACAGCTGTTCAACAGGAAGAAAAAGAAAACATAAGGAAAAGGCAGGGGCTTAGCGCTGAGAGCGATTCAGGTTTAAATCTTAGCTTCTCATTTGCCACACATGTCACCCAGAAAAATTCGTATTTCCGTGCCTCAGTTTCTTCAGCTGTCACCGGCAGCAGGAAACGCAGGGCGCGTGTCCTGCAGCAGCTATCCGTTACCCCGGGAGCTTAAAAGCTTCACATCGTTGACTACAACACCGAAGGTTATCCGTGTCAGGCTCTCTGCTTCCGCCTGGCACCACGAATGAAGGTAACATACCATTCGCTGGACCGCAGCACACACGTAGGTGGCAGGGTTGATCTTGACACTGATCCAAACAAGATGGAGACTTAGAAATTCAGCAAACACTATTGAGAATCAGCTCCGTAAGCGCACCTGAGTGAGTGATAGCGGTCTTACAGTAACTCACAATCCATAAAGGAAAGAGGCAGTCTCTCTGAAAAAGGAAAAACTGGGGTGCACATTCACACAGGGAAGGGGCTTTAATGTATCATGGGGAAGATGAACGAAGCAAAATGAATTCTGACTTGCGAGCACAGTAGTTTTTAAAAGTGCAACTGGTTACAGTCCCCACACCTCACTCTCCAGCCCACCGGTTCTCAAATGGAAAACTCACTGTTGGAGTCACAGAGCAGCCGGTTAAATCGCACAGAAACCTGAAAGGGGCCTGAGAATCTGCATTTCCCAGGAGTGCCACACGATTGGCAATGCCCATTCTGGACGGAGAAGGTGTTTAAGTAAAACTGATGGGTGATAAGTAGGCACGCCTGAGGAAACATGAGTGCCATTTGCCGAAACATGGGCTTTGTACACACAGGTACGTACGGATAAGAAAGATGCTTACAAACACAGAGAGGAAAACGTTCTAAGTAACACACCTTTTAGGGTAAGTTAGCCTTGCTGGATTTTTACATTTCCCAATAAATTCACCAGCCAGATGTGGTAGCCCTGGCCTGAAACACCACTTCCTCAGGACAGCTGAGGCAGGAACATTGTAAATTCAAGCCCAGCCTGGGCAAATTACAGCACCAAAGCTAAGGTACGGGAAGCAGGGGAATCCTTCTCAAACAGGAAGGGGAGCAAGAGACGTGGGGAGGACAGAGGGAGAGAGGAGGCAAGGACGGGAAAATGAAGGACAAGTGGGAACAGAGCTTTTCCAAACGGCAGGGAACCAGAGTTGGAAGGAGCAGGAAGGGACGGGGAGCAAGAGGGAGTGAGAAGAGAATGCGTTCCGCACACCTACAGACGGCCCGCAGTGAATGCGGTCATTACGGACAGTCAACGCGCACTAATAAAGTAAGATAAAAGTAATTAAGTAAATAAAGTAAAGTAAAGAGTGCTGAGGCCACAGCACAGCTCAGCGTAGAGCGTCTGCTAACCTGCTCCCTGCCCCAATTTTGCACCACACAGGCAAAGCTAGAGTAACAAGGCCACAGCAGATTTCTGATCATGTGCTTGTTTAAATTCTTTACAAAGATTTCAACAATGTCACTCTATTAGTCTTTAAAAATGAATATAACACTAACATATTTTGAATTTCAGTGCTTTAGTAAGCTACAGATTAAATTCCTTTACACAAGAAACCAGTTTCGCAGTTTCACTTGAGCCTTAGGGAAAGTTTCATACTCACCAAAACCATCAATATCTAAATTATTTTCAACCACAACATCTAGCAGGGAGTCACCGATTTTTCCTTGGGTTGTTAACTTTTCACCATCTCGGTTTATAAAGTGGATTGTTATCTTATCTTCTGAGCTGGAAGAGAAAGAAAGTGTTATTCAGCATCTTTCATAATTTCAAACGTAATTTGTTTTTAACCTAAAAGGCCAAAGACAGAAAGCATGTGCATATGTATGAATGTACTATTAAAAAGGATTTTCTTTTCTTTTGAAAGTTTACCTACAAAGAAGACATCAAATACCACAGGCCTGCCTCTCCCTCTACCTAGCAGGTGAGAAGCTCTACTACCTCAAAGAAAATGGGGACCAGCACCTGGGCAGCGACACTTGGGGGACTGCAGAATTCCCTTCCCACAGGCCACAGACCCATGTGCTAATCACCACCACTCACGAGGTCTGTCAGGGTGGGGAGTACTAAAGACTTCATCTATTTTCTCTCACAGCTTTCTGAAAAAACCACATGTTCTCCGAATGAGACCCTGAAAGGCGACACCAGGGTTATGGTGGGCTTTCACTCTGCCATCAACTGGTGATTACAGGGACACACCACAGCCGAGAGGCAGCAGCCGGATAGCTTTTGAGTATTTTAATATTTGATTTCATTTCAGATTATGCTATGTATTCAAAAACTAACAGAACTAAAAAAGGTTTTTGTATCTTGAAAAATAAACAAAATACCTCCCTGTGTTTTCCTGTAAGACACCATCTATCAGGTAGCTGACTTAAATGTTTTTCCCTGCTCACAAGTATCATGCCAAAAAAACTACACTTGCAACTGGATCCTGATCCTTCACCCTTATCATTAGAATTTTTACCCCCAATTAAAAAGAGCTACTTTAATTTAAAACAATCAGTTACCAGATGTGAAGGCGACCCGTAACCCCAGCACTTGGAAGGCTAAGGCAGAGCACCTTAAGTCCGAGGCCAGCCAGGTCTCCCTGTGTAGTTTAAAAAGCCAAAAGATGCCAACAGATGGTACTACTAGCCCACAAAAGAAAATTCCATATAAGTAAAACCTAGGATTAAACAATTCCAGAGCTATAAATAGCCTGAAAAGTATCAAATCCAATTACCTCATTTCATAACTGAGGCAACTGACGCCCCACTACTTGGATATCATCCTCGATATAATAATGACCCTGAAAAAGGATGATTCTGTTCATCAAAAACCAACAAAGTGTTGGAGGGGGGAGTGTGTGTGTGTGTGTGTGTGTGTCCTTCACAAGAACCCATTTTTCCCTAACTTTTTTAATAGCCAAAAAAAAAAAAAAAAGTTTTAAAAACAACAAGCCTCCTAGCCAGATGCAGGGCCGCACAATCGCAATCTACCGGAGGATTCCAATGCTTGTCTCAAAGTAAAAATAAAACAAAAAGAGCTGGGAACCTAACTCAGTGGTAGAGCACCTGCTTTTGAGTTCAATACCCAGGAAAGGCTCCCCTCCAAAGAAAGTATTCTCAAATATTAATCATGATTTTTAAACTAAAAACAACTGTCATTTTTCCAGAGTCGAACGGCTGAGCATGGAGACACCCCAAGAGCCCAGTCAGGGAGACCACCTTGGAGGTTAATGAAGAGCACAAACTGAGCAACACTCGAGCTGCTGACTCAAGGACCCCCAGCACAAGGCGGCAGCAGGCTCAGAGGCGGTTACCTACGTGCAAACTGACAGAAAGCAAACCAGGTACTCAGGCTTCTGGCTTGGGAAGCCGAGGCGGTTTAACCTGGGTCAGCAAAGGAGGAAGGGCGGCAGGGACCGGCAGGGACCGTGGAAACAAGGTTGACTATTGTTTCTTTAATAATGCAAACCAGATGAGAACGTCTCAAAGGCTGATGGAAACGTGACTCCTAGAAGTCTAGAGATTTAATATGGACAAACACCTGTAGCAAGGGTCTTGGCACAGTAGCCAAAGCTACAGGAAAGAACAACAGAAAGAAGGCCACCACTTATGGACTTGTCAAAAGCCTGAGGTTTTAGGTTTGCTTTCTTTTGGAGCACATTACAGCTAAGTTTACAACAAAGAAATCTGAATTTTTCATATCAGACTCTTCGGTAAAATCAGGAAAACGTTTCTGCCAAGACCTGACCTTCTGCTATGTATTAAAGGTGTACAGCCCTATTTAAAAAAAAACAAAAAACACGCCAGGTAAAAGCACTAGTAGGCTTACTAACGGTCAGGAAAGGAAGCACAAAACGACGAAGGTAATTCCACAGCTGAGAGAGCACGCAGGCCACGAGGCCCGGATTCTAGTCCTGGTTCTAACTCAATGTTCATTAGTAAGTAAAACTGGGACAGTGACTGCACCAAACTGGGAATTAAGGAAAGAAACCGATTTTAATGTAAAGAACTAAAAAAGAAAACGTTAGTAGAAATACTTTGCTCCTTAAACCATAATACAAATTTTTAAAAACCATTAGACATGAGTACTTTCCCAAATATCTCTGGTTATTTTGTTGGGGCTGTTCTGATGCCAGGAATCAAACACGGAGCCTTGTGCACACTAGGTGACTGCTCTACCACTGAGTTATATCCCAGTGTCCTAAGTAATTTTTGTTTCCTATTACTGATTGGTGATGGTGGGGTTTGTAGTTTTTTCTCCAATTCTAAGGACTGGTAAAAAAAACTTGGCTGGTCCCAAAAGAAGATCTCATATACTGGGAAATAAATATAATGCTTCAAAATCTATCACCACCAAGTAACCAGCCATCGCTGCAAACAACTACTGTATTTTCTTCACTCGCTGCTCTTTACACATTTTTCCCATTTATTCTGCTTGATCGCAGCAGGACTGTGACAAAGTTGTTGGGGTTGCTATGCTACAGATCTCAGAAGGTTACTAAGCAGAAAAAAGCCATGGCCACTAATGCCCACCCTTTTCCTGGAGGGCCAGGAAAAGCCTCCCCCCCCCCCATTTAAGGCTCCCTACTTCCATAACCACTTTAACTCCCCCAAATGACTCACTGAACTATGGACTACAGACTTGTCTGCTGAGGGTGCAGGTGAGTTGTAGAGCACTGGCTTCCATCCAGGGCCCCAACACCACACACACAAAAAAATGATTACCGATTATCATGATGCCCAAAAAATCAAATTGAGTTAAATTCTAATTCTGGTTTTGCCAGTTTCTTAGTATGAAAATTTTATTACAATTTATCTGCCCTCCCTACATTACAGAATTGGCTTAAGAGTCAAGCGGAATAACATGTAAAAGCCCTTGGTAATCTAAATCATCACAAAATATAAAGTACTGTGTCAAGGCATTTTAGAGTAAAAGGAGTTTTCTCGACTGACATTCAATTACTGCAGCTAAATGTTAGATTTCAAACTCAGAACCCTGCTGGCCAATCCAACACTGTGCAATGGCAGACATGTTCTATGCCTGCAATTTCCAGGGCAGCAACCACTGGCCATAAGCAGCAACTACTCAGTTACTTTAAGTGTGACTAGTAACCAGAAATCTTTAGTTTTATTTAACCTTAATTATTTTAAGTCTCAACAGTGACACGTGGTTAACGGCTACCGTACTGAACAGTCCAAGTCTGGCATAACGAGTCCTGGCAAATCTAGTGATAGCTCCAAAGTCTAAAAGGAAGTACAAGGCCATCGTTAGAAAATACGCCAACCTGAGGGAAAGCAGAAGTATTAAAGAACAGAACAGATATTAAAACAACCTGACATCCAAATCCAAACTCTGGGCGGGGTAATTCCCTGAAACACTAGATACATACACAATCAAGGCATGTCCTCACCTTCCAAGAATGTAATCACTGAAGAAAGGGGGTGAAGGTAGACAAGGGAAGGGTAGGAGTAGGTGGGGAGCAGGGAATGGAGGGGGAAGGGTGAGGGGACACGCAAACAAATTCTCCACATCTGAGCGCCCTGGGCCTAAGTATAAGGCTCAGATGATAAATCACTGACCCTCAGCAATCTATTCTAACTCCCGAGATCTCCCTCAAGCTCCTGCGTGTGGCCACAGTGCACCCTGGGATCCACAGCTAGTCTAGACCCACATTACATAAATCTCTATCAGCTCTGAAATTATGAGCAAACTCTCATCTCAAAAAAACCTAAAAGGGCAGTGCTTCTTAAAAACTAATATGCCCAACAGGATAAAGCTTCAGCATATTTTAGGAAAAACTCTGAACATCTCAACATTTAATACAAAACTCATCACCACAAGCCTAAGAAATTCGTGCATCGGGGCTGGGGATTTAGCTCAGCGGCATAAGTGCCTGCCTTGCAAGCAGGCGGTCGTGAGTTCGATCCCTGGTACCGATAAAAAGGAAAAAGACAAAAAAAAAAAAAAATCTAGAAGAAATTCGTGCATCAACTTTAACTGAACTGTCCACCAAGCACACTACCTGCATCAAACGTATTATCTCACTCACCGTTCAAATAATCCTGTGAACTCTACCCTGCTGTCTATCACCCGTTTACTGGTGAGAAAAAGGAGGTCAGGGATTGCGGAAGTTAAGTAAAGCAAGTGCGAAGTGACCACCCGCGCACCGCTGCCCCGCGGGCCCTGGCAACACCTCTCCCGACCACAGCCCTGCGCAGACAGCAAGTTCTGCCACTCCAGGGGCAGGCAGGGTGTATTCCGGAGACACTGCCCTGACCAGGAGCGGGGACAGAGTCCTACCCTGCGGTCAAAGGACCCGAGCGCCGGCCGGCCTGCAGGGGTCAGCCCGGAAACAGCACGGTAGGCTCAGGGCAAAGGCTGATCGAGCCACCGGGTCCGACCGCCGAGCCGGGCAGGCTTCCCGGGGGCACAGGGGCGCCGGGAGAGGAAGCTCGGGTCCCCGTGCCCGTGCCCGGCCGGCCAGGCGCGTCACCGGGAAGGACTCTCGGGGCAGGCGGCCAGCGTTCAGGGGCTGAGGGCAGCGCGCGACCAGGGCCCGCCCGCCTCACCTGCTCCGGGCCGACAGGCTCACAGCCCGGCGGGGCGCCCCGCTGCCCCGCAGGCCGCCGGCTGCCGCTCGGGGCCCGGCCGGGAGCAGGCACCGGCGGGCCGGGCCGCCGAGAGCCGCAGAGGCGGCGCGCAGGAGCCGGGCGCCCCCGGCGGAGGCCATGGCCGAGTCCGGAGCTGCCGCGTGCGACCAGGCCGCCGGCAGCGGGCGCGCGAGCTCGGCGGGGGCCGGCGGGGGCAGCGGGCCGGAGGGCCGGAGGGTCGGGCGGGTCCGGCGCCGAGGGCAGGACAGCTGCGGCCTCGCCCCGCGTGACCTATAAAGGCCGCGGCGCCGGCCTTGCCGCGGGCCCACGCCTCCGGGGCGGGCCTTCCTCCGGGCGGGGCCGAGCCCGGGGCCCGGCCGCGAACCTCCGCGCACGCTCCCTCCCGAGGGTCGAGGCTCCGCCGGAAGGAAGGCCGCGCCGCCGCCGCTCCGGCCTCCGGCGCTTCCGGCCCGCCCGACTCGGTTAAACTCAGCGCTGAAGAGGCCTCGCAGGTCGCAGTCCCTCCAAAGGGGATTCCGGGCTCAGACGGGGCGGGAAGGAGGTTTGGAAAGTGTCAGAGGGCCAGTGTTCACGCAGATTCAGTGCGGAATAATTCCAAGGTCTTGGCAATCATGAAAGGCTGCGGGGAAAGCCGGCTACTGCCCAGGCCTGAGCTGCACATAAACGATAGCGTGCATGAGGGAGAGCAGAAAACCTTTGGATGAAGCGAGATTTCTTTTTAAAAATGTTAAATGCATTTTATCACGATTAATATGTTTTGGAAAGACAAGTTTTAAGGTCAGAAATAGTAATGTTCAAACCCAAGGTCTGTCCCTGAAGCCCTCTGAGACCTTGGGAAGCTGTGCTCTTCTGAGCATCAGTTACTTGCGCAACTCGCAGATAAGATGGTCAGGTTTGAGGGCCATTCTGAGGGTTGGACAGAGGGACGACGTGAGTCACACTCCCCGGGCCGCAGGTCTTCCGGACGCCGGTCACGGAAAGTACCATGTCCTCGACGCAAAAGAGACTTTAAATTAAAGACATTTAGGACAAAATAGTACAGACCTGGGTAAATTCTCTCCAGACAATGTACCTGTGAGGTGTGTTTAACCTGATGGCAGAGGGAGAAGTCATTCTGTTCCCACTTGCCTCAATCATCAGATAAACACATTTTAGCTGAAAAGGGCACAGCAAAACCTACAAATCTTCTTAATGAGAAGTTTTAAAGAGCAGTAATTTTTTTAAGATCAAGTCTCCAAGGGGAAGTTATTTAACTACAGGAAGAGAATGGGTGGGAAGGGTGGCCTATACAGGGTCCCCCTCTTAGCTCTCCAGTGGCGAGCAACTCTGACTTGGGTTTTGCACACGTTGCAGGATATTTCTTTGTACATATAAGATAGTTGAATGGTCATCTGAATGGCCACAGTGATACCAGATACAAAACAACCGATACAAGGCTTTGAAGATGTCACGGGTTCAAGGGGTGTAACTATGCATTTTTAACCTATGTTCGATAACGTATGTTTAAGATTCGACAATGTCCATGTAAGCATTTGTGAATAAACTAATGCTGTCACTTAGCTTATCCATTATGCGTATGTAGAGATTAAGGATGGGAAAAACGTTCTCCAGATTTCACACGTATATGAGTGTTAACTCCAAGAATTAGAGAGCCAACATCCACAGAATACAGCACGGATTGGCAAGCATGTGGTTTGTGAACACTGATAAGGCAACATGTGATAACCCAGAACATGCTTCTGCTAAACTCTGTGTTTATCTCTTTGCAGATAAAACTGCCACCCGCCCTCTCCCACTCGTGTCAAATCTACTGGTATTTTCATGTTTTATTGCTATAAAATAGTACCACTGACTATGAAGAACAGATGAAGTAAGTTTAAACATGCCTGTTTCCTCATTTACCCTTTCGTTATGGAGAAAACTTTTAAAACCTTCCCAGTATTTTGAAATGTACACTGTATTATTGATATTGATAGTCACCATATTGTACAATAGCACACAGACCTGATTGAAACACTACACAGTGTAAACATGTATTGAAATGTCGTATGTATCAGACAATAAGTAATTGATAAAGAATAGGAATGCATTTTCTTGCAGTCTAGGAAACTGAGAAGACCAAAATCAAGAAGAAGATGCCATCAGAACTGGTGTCTTTTGAGGGCCCAGTCTTTGAAGTGCCATAAAAATTGAATGTTTGCTGTACACCTACTCTGAGCTGCCTGTCACTGTCTTTCCATTACACATAATTTATAGTTTTTGCAGACTGAAGCTCCAAAAGAATAGACTTACTATTCTTCTTACTAACCTTCATATTCCCAGCACCTGCCATGGTGCCCTGCACAGAGAAGACAAATAATAATGTCTTTGTTAGGAATTTCCAGGATTTTTAATCTCATTTAATATCAGCGAGTCTATGCAGTGGCTGTGTAATCAGTCAAGGAGTGTAACTATGCATTTTTAAACTATGTTCGATAATGAATGTTTAAGATTCGACAATGTCCATATAATTTAGGAATAAAGATCAGAAAATAACACTACCTGAATTTTTTCACTGTTACAGATGGAAACCAAAGCCTTGTTCATGCCAGGCAAACAGGACACCATTGAGCTCTATACTACCAGCCTTAGTAACTGAATTTTATTTAAAAAAGCAGAACTAAATAAATTTCATTCAAAACAATTTCCACTCCACCCCAGTGATTAATAAATATAGCTGATGATATTAGTGAGTGTCTTGTTTATAAGACCTTATAAAGTTAATTATTATATAAATAGATTAAAAACCAGATTAAGAGACCAAAGAACATATAAAGCATGTAAGACAGTTGTACAAAATCAAGGTGCACTTTTAGACACGTTGTCCACACCAGTTTTCTTTCTCTTTTTTCCTATTATCTGTCTTCTGTTGCATATATATATATGGAGAGAGACAGTGATTTTCCATATAAGAGAAATCATGTTAAGTTTGTGTATCTGTGTTAATTCACTTAAAATTATGGCCTCAAAGTGCATCCATTTTCCTATAAATAACTAAAGTTTATGCTTTTTATGGCAGTGTAGTCCTCCATTGTATATCAATAACACATTTTTAAAATATAGTTATCTGTTGGACATACAAGCTGTTTCCAAGATTTAGCTACTATAAATTACGCTGCTATAAACATGAGTATGTATGTATCACTGTGGTATAATGTCACCTCCTTGGGGAAGATGCATTGAAGAGGAATAGCTGGGTCAAATGGAATCTCTATTTCTAGACTTTGAGGAATTCCGCCCTGATTTTCATAGTGGTTGTATCAGTTTATGGTCCCAGCAACAATGGAGAAGTGTTCCCTTCTTCACGTTGGCTCACCAGCATTTGTTATTGGTTGATTCTTCTGCAGTGAGATACAATCTCACTGGTTCAATTTGCATTTCTCAAATAGCCGGCAAAGTTGAATATTTTTTCATATATTTTTTATTGTGTTTCTTCATTTAACAAATGTCCGTTCACTTCAAAAGCCCATTTTTAATTGGTTCTTTAAATTTGGAGGAGTCTAATTTTTTTTTAGTTCTTTATGTTTCAGATACTAGTCCTTTGAGGAACAGCAGGAAAATGTGTTCCCCATCCTGTAGGTATCTCTAATGTGTTGCTTTGCTGTGCACCTTCCTGAAAACCTGTCTTGATTCCAGTGAAATATACAACATCTTGTACTGTTTATTCAACCCTGATACGTTTCTCTTTCAATTTTTTTCAAAATATGTTTCCTATCCATATTTCAAGTGCCATGTTCTTGTAAAACATTGCTACCTTGATGTATTCAATCACTATTGCTGCTATAATAAATTTATTTTCCAGTTCTAAAACTAAGGAATGAATTAGGAGTCAAGTATTCCATTTTACTGTCCTATAGGCCAGAAATCTGAAACAGGAATTGGACCTAACGTCAGGCTGCCGGCTGGGCTGCATTTCTGTCTGGAGTGTGCCTTTCTGTTTTGTTCCTCTCCTAGACTGTATTTCTAGTCTCACTTTATCTTCCAAGGCCAGTGTATCCCTCACTGGCATCTCTCTGACCCTTCTCTAATCATCATTTCTAACCACAGGAAGAAAGTTGCTCTGCTTTTAAAGATTCCATCGATAATTTGGGGGCCATCCTAATACTCCGGGATAACCTACCATGTCAAGGTCTCTGCTCTTAAGCACACCTGCAAAATCTCCTTAGCCATAGAAAGCAACGTATTCAAAGTTCGGGCGGTAACAGCTGGACATCTGTAAAGGACCATCAGGTGCCTGTCACACCTGGGTTTAAGTATCACAGAAGTTCAGCGTCACCAGTATCCTCTGGCCGGTCCTTCATGTTACTTTCTGAGCTGCTTTTGATCCCTGTGCACTGGTTATAGTTTCAAGACTTTCTTCAACATGGAGGAATAATGCATATGTGCCTACCATGGTGCCATGTCCTAAACTGTGTCACCATAAGAAATTTCTGACTAATCAAAGGAAAACAAAATAACGCTCAGTGTTTACTCTGTGCCTTTATTATTGATGTGCAGATTTATTTAATCGTCACAAAGCACCATAAGGTCGATATCATCATTACCATTTTTCTGATGAATAAACTGAGGCACAGGGTATACATGAGGCTTGGGATGTTAGCAAAAAAATAATACTAGATGGCTTTGGTATGGTAGTTTGTAGAACATGTAAACACAGCAGATACTTCATATATTTTACTATAGCTTTCCACAAAAGAGTGACTCTCCTCACCTTAGAGTTGAAAGGATTGTAGAATGGAACTTACGCATTTTCTATTTCTACTTCTTTTCTTTAAATCTTAAAGATACTCTTCTGCTGAAGTTGGGGGAGGGGATAATAAATATGAAAAGGAACGTCCTCCAGCTCTGGTTTTCTTTCTGTTGCTGCCGCTTTGCTCTAGGATATCGCTTTAAATCATTTTATGTGGATGCATTTTTGTCTTTAGAATTTATTAATATGCAGTTTATAAACTTGAAAGTATTCAAATGCAGGCCAACCCAGAGTCCAGCAATAAAGAAAATTCAGTAGTCAAGGGCATCCCTCAGAAGCACTGTTGATCTGCCAGTTTCCAGTTGAGTAACTAAAGAACAATTGCCAAGTTTCCTTGAACTTGGTTGATGCAAACTGTGGGTTACAGAAAAATAATTTGTTCTGTTCCAGTGGTATTTGTTACTTACAAGAGTTTCTAAATTTTAGTTATCTGCCAAGTTTCAGGCTTGGAAGATGCTTTGAAAATGCCCTTCCTAGCAAGGCTTACCTTTAAATTCTGATGGACATTTCAATGTCTCAGTCCCATTTTAAAAATCTTCATGTGAATTAAAGTCAGTCTACAGACATTTTTCCTATCAAGATATTTTAAAATTCAATATTGTGTGGCTGAAACCATGAAGAAGTAGGCACTCTGACACGTATCTAGTTGCTATACAAAATGGCCCAACTGCTGCTGAGATCACATGATAGTATGTTTTTAAAATTAAAAATTCATTTACCCTTCCATCCAGAAAATCCACTTCTGGGAATTTATCCTGCAGACATCAGTTTAGAGTTACACAAAATGATGTCTCCACAGGAAGAGCAGAACATAAGAATAATTACACAGGTGGAATTTGCATTGATAATCCCTAGAAGGACAAATTAAAAAGAAAGAAATGAGAGCTGCAGAAAGGGCAGGAAAGGGCAGGACTAGCAAGACTTTTGTCTTGTGACACTGTTAGGACTTTTGGACAATGCGTTCACATTATGTGACCGTACTACCTAGGCAAAAAGTAAATGAAATAGATAAATAATACATAAAAAAGTGAAGTGACGAAAAGGTAAAAGACCCGGCATAGTAGTCGAGAATCTCAGCACTCAAGAGGCTGAGGCAGGAGGACTGCCATGAGTTCTAGACCAGCCTGGGCTGCATAGTGAGTTTAGGGCCAACCTGAACGGTGTAGTGTACCTACCTCAAAAATAAAATTTTAAAAGAGAGAGAGATAAAAGATTGCTCTTCTTATTCATCATAGATTTTTATCAGGATGTATTTTTTAATGATTTTTATATGAAATGAAGGAAATTACTGAGGCAAGCACAAAGGAGAAAAAATGTCAGTCTCTGTAGAGAGAACTGGAGCCAGCAGACCAAAATCTGGATTCAGAAGATCACAGTGAGTAAATGACACGATCTTCTAGCTGGAAAGATGGAGGTGGTGTCTTATCACTTTATAGATTGAGGAAACTGAAGTCCAGAGTGTTAAGAGGCTCAGCACAGTCAGTCACCAGTGCACAGAGAACAGGACGAGGATCTCAAGGCCGTCATTCACAGTCTCCATGCTTACTTCTGTATACCCTGACACCTCTACTGATAATGACATAGTGTCTACTAAGATCAAAATAATTAACGTGTGCCAAGTCTTTCAAGCACTTTGACATGGGCTGTGTGCTTTGATTGTCATAGAGTTGCTGTTGTAAGGTAGTAGAGTGTAATAGGTAGAACCCTAAGCTCTGGAGACAGACTTCGAATCCTGATTGACTTACATGTTATGTGACCGTAGAAGAAGACTGAATCTCTAAGTTTCTTCGTTCGTAAACTGTGGATGTAACAATGCTTACCTCAAAGGACCCATCTGAAGACAAAAGGCGCACAAAGGACTTGACCTGAGATTTAGCAGTGCTCCCTACTTGTACTTTATTTTGTTGCTGCTTTTACTTTACAGACGAAAACCTACTTCAAGGACACAGCCGAGTAGCCTGCCCAAAGCCACACAATTCACAAGTAGCAGTTCAGGACCTCAGTCTAGGTTTCCTCACACACCTTACATGCCTATGGAATCTACAGTTTTAATGCACTTTATTTTTCTCTAACTCATTCTGGTAGTTTTTCTACTTTGGTTTGCAACTCAGCCATTGCAGTCATTTTTACAGAAAAGACAATGCCCTGATATGTTGGCTAGAGAAAAAATCCTGTCTAAAATGCAGCCACGTGTCCTGTTGCTATCACCCCACAACTCAGGGGCTAATCATAACAAATGTTCATCATTAATGTGCATTAGCTTTTCATTGCTAGGACAAAAATACCTGACATGCACAGTCTAAAGGAGAAAGGTTATTTTGGCTCACAGTTTCGGAGACCTCAGTTCATGACTGGCTGGTTCCAAGCAAGGAACAAACAGTGTGAAAGGAAATGGCAGGGAAAAGCTGCGAAGTTCATGGCAGCTAAGAAGCAGGGAGAAGGGGAGAGGCCAGAAAGCAAGGAACCAGAGTCAAGGTCTAAAGCTTCAAGGTCACAGCCCCGTGTGTTCCCAGACACATCCAGTAACGTTCTTTCCTCAGCCCCTAGGGCTCTTTCAATCCACTCAAACTGACAACCACGAGAAACCATCACAGCGCGGGGGACATAACTCAGCAGCACAGCACCCGCCTGGCAATTGTGAGATCCCCGAGTTTGACTCCTGGTGCCAAAAAAAAAAAAAGAAAAGATAAGCCATCACACTGTGTGTACTGACGCAGTGCTCCTGGATCTCAAATGGTTGATGAAAGAAGGTTTTCCTCATACAAAGAAATCAGTGCCAACCGGTAGGACATGTGGACATATCATATCATATTCAACTTATTATATACAATGATATATATCTTCATCCCTTTCTAATTTTTCTAATTTTCTAATTTCTGATTTTCTGTCCTCCCGTTCTTTTAGCTACATATTAGATCAAGCGATCTTGCCTTTTTCAAGTGATCTTGCCTTCATTTTGCCTTCGTTTGCCAACACCATTCCTGTCCCTTGTGCTTTTTCTCAAATGACTATGAAAAAAATTAGCTGGTTTCTTCATTTCTCTGTGCAAAAATAGTTCCCTGGGCATTGACATCTCAAGATCCCGAAATCAAGTAGAACTTAGCATTAACATAGAGATGTGTACTATAAATCTGTAACCAAGAGTCTAGAACCAGGTAATGTCTAGAATCACTTTGATTTCGGAGTATAATGAGCAAAAATAGCCAGACAGTAGTATAATCTATACTCCCTGCAGTGCAGTTATGGGGCTCACTAGGAAAGGAACCAAGGAAGCATCTAAGTTAAGCAGTCATTCCTGAAGAATCTCAGGCTCATAGCAGATTATGGCTGGAAGTCTGCCAGAGAATGTTATCTATCAAGTCAAAGAGCAAGGTCCAAAATCTGAGTGGATCACAGGAGTGTGCTCCAGAAACCATCTGAAAGGATAATACGTGGGTGATGTTAATGCTGCATCAACTTAAAAGTTAGGAAAATAAATCCCAAATAGAAAGGAGTAAGGGGCTTAGTCCTCAGGCTTTTATACCATCTTAAATTACAAGATCATAGTTTTCAAATTTAATCTTTTGTTTCTTTCATGTGGTTTGGCAGGATCTCCAGGATATGTATCTACAACTGAAGAGCCAGATTCCCACAGATGTGGAACATAAAAATACAGTGGCAGAAGCTAGACAGTACTAGCTGTAAAGTGCACAGCCAAGGCCCTTGTTTCTCCAGAGCCTCCATTACAAATGACAAATTGCCCAGAGAAGGGACAAGAAAGAGGGTGGGTGGGGAAGTGTGGGTTGTTTAGGAAACCAGTATTTCAGACAGCTCCTTTTGCCATCTACTGAAGGAGTGTACATTTCTCACTTTTAAGAAGTATCTTCCTGAATTTCAGTTCCAACTACTATAAAATAAATAGTGCTGGATTAGTCCTCCTAGTTGCCAGCATCACACAATATGTGTGAGCTAACGTTCCAGGAATTGAACAATAAGCAGGTAAGATTTCATTCCAGAGAAAACAGAGCTCATGCGATGAGCTTCAATATCATCTCAAGAAAAAAATGAAAAGCACACATTGATATATTGATGTGTTTCTTAAATGTGAATGAACCTCACATGCCTGTGATTATAGTTCTTTGATCATGATGTATTATCCCCTCATGGTCAGGGTTTACAGGGGAAAAGACTTGTTACAGGACACAAAATTTATGGGATTTTTTTGTAGTATTCACCCAAAGACTTAAATGCAAAGAGCATGGGAGATCTGTCCACACACTGGAGACCCAAAGAATTCAGCTGATGGCCCAGATCCCACGGCAATGTCTTGCATGAGTCCAGCTGAATATATAGAACCCATGACAATATCCTCCGCAAGAGGACCTGGAGGTCCTTAGCCTACACCAATGTCTCATGCAAGTCTGTTTCAAGGATCTGTGCTAGAAAGACCCAAAGGTCAGTGGTGGAAGGTAGAAAGTCAGTGCCAGGGGAATGAAGGATCTGTGCCAGCAGGCTGAGGAATCTGCACTAGAGCCAGGAAGCGATGTTCAAGGTAAGGACCAGAGCTCCCCCAAAGAGGACCTCAGCCATCCCCAGCAAAAGGAAGGATCCAGGCTCCTTGGATGACAAGATGGCTGAGTTCGTATCAGGAAAACCAGCATGACAAACTTCTCCCTGAGAATCAGCAGCACTCCATCTTCTCCTTTTCTGTGCTGTTGGCACCCATCCTCAGGTGGGCCTTCCACACCTTGCACCATGCTGAGTGTGACAAGTGACCACTAGTTACTCCACCACATAGCCTTTTACAATTTCTGGATTTTATTTTCAAATGCAGGATTTGAGAGGTGACTTCTGTATTTATGCTAAGAAGATATGTTACTTTATAATTCTTTTTTTTCTTTGTCAGACTTAAAATTAGACATGCTGACCTCTATTTTTGATATAGCTATATTTCTTTCTTTGATAGAATTAATCAGTGAAATTATATGGGCCTGGAATTTTCTTTGTAGGAAAGTTTTTCAGAAATAACAAATTTATATTTATTTTATGTTTCAGGAAACTAGTCAAATTTACCTAAATTATCAAACTTATCAACATGCCACTGGTTAAACTATTTGCTTATTTTTTAAAATTTTTATAAAATCAATAGTGATGTTCTATCTTATTCCTGATATTGGCAATATAAGGAAACAGTACCTCTATCTTGATTTCTAGTATCATTTTCTAATAAAAATAACTAAAGATGATTGAAGTGGTTAATTGTAAGACTGAAGAGAAAAATATACAAAATGAGCATTTCATAGTGCCTAAAACTGAGGCACTTTACACATGCATGCACACAGGAATACGTCGTCCAAGTGACACAGGAGGCAATTTAGAGAGCAGCCAATGACCCAGGACAGAGCAAATTAGCTGCACAATAAAGATTATAATCCAAAGTATAAAATAAATATCCATCATAATGCAAATAAGTAGTTTAAAAACAGTAAGAAGTAGACAAATCTCTCCTGCAGAAAAATTATAAATCATTTTATGAAGATAGCCTGCTCTGAAGAGACACAGTTTAGGGCAACCTGCTTGGGATCCCTTTGGCTCTCTCAGACAGAAGCTTCCTTCTCTCAATGAATAGACTCAGGGCTGGGAATATAGCTCAGCGGCACAACTGCCTGCTTGGCAAATGTGAGGTGGTGAGTTTGATCCCCAGTACTACAAAAATAAATAAATTCTGCTTGTAACTTCCACTGTTCCTATCATTCTTCAATTTTAGAGAACACAAACTCATACTGGGACGTCTAATACATTGAGAGTTTCACTCCCCTATATCAAAACTATGGGTCACTTGTCCCAGCTGAGGCCTGTTGTGGATTGTGATGCCCTGGACAGGATAAGGTCACAGCTAAGGATGCCTGATTCCCACTCCAATTAATTAAATAAAGACTCTAGCTGTAGGCATTTCACTCCTGTAGTAAAAGTCAGTCCGGAGACTTCCTCCTAATATATTTGTCCTAAATTAACATAAGATAGTTCTCCTAAATTAACATAAGATCATTTTCCTAAATTAACATACTCTGTTACTTGGAGAAGTCCTTGAACCACTCTCAAGGTCCTGTTCAGTTTCCCACACCCCTTTCCTTGTTTGAAAATCAAATAAATATGGGCCACCCAGAGCCATGCTTTGTCTCAGCCTCCAGAGAATCATGCATTATGCTAGAGGGTTTTGATTCTCCTGGAGCCCCAGCCCCACCACAAAAAAGAAGTAGAGTTTAAACCCCTTTTCCTAACTTAGAAGAGAACATAGTGACTTCCTTTCCAAGAGTACAAAGTAGAAAGAAGAAAATACCTTCTTACTGGAGATATTATTAGAATTCTAGGTCAGAAGGCCCTGGATCCAGTGGTTCCAACAGAGCAAATCTGACCATTGCCCCCAAAAGATTTAAATGCAACAAAGGGTTCCAAATATTTGCAATAAGGCAACCCAGCATAGACAATTTAAAAACATCACCCAAGGAATTAAAAGAGAAAAGAAAGAAGAGAAGGGCCGGGGATTTAGCTCAGCAGCGTAAGTGCCTGCTTGGCAAATGCAAGGTTGTGAGTTCAATTCCCAGCACCAAAAAAAAAAAAAAAAAAAAAAAAAGAAAGAAAGAAAAAGAAAGAAAAGAAAATGAAAAGACACCTAAACAAGATAGAACCTAGATATCCAGTTCACCAAAGGCAAACCCAAGAGGCAATGATATGGAACAATCTAAAAACCACCCACCTGACCTCTCTAAAGTGGTAACAACAAGGCAATTGAATAAGGCTTTAGAAAAAAATCAAATCGGAAATAATTTCTCAGATAACTGCAGAGATGGTATCCACAACGAAAACCATGATGAGTGACTCTGGAGCAGATACAGATAAAAAAAGAATAGAGGAGCTTAAGAAAATTATGGAAGCCATGAATGCTCCGCATAGGAAAGAAATGGAATCCAAAAGACAGATTCAAGCAGCTATCCAGGAGGATAAGATTTCCATTGAACGTATCTGCAGCAGATTAAGCCAATGTGGGAACCGAATCTTAGATATAGAAGGCAAGAATGTGGTTTATTTAAGAAAGGTTTCTTAAAAATAACAAGAGACCATGAGAAATCAATATAGCAGCTGCTAGATGAAGCAAAGAAGAATAGCTTAAGGTTGACTGGAGTCAATGAAAAGGCAGGAAACAGCACAAATGTATCTTTTTTTAAAAAATTGACTTCATGGCAGGGAAAACGAATTTGACATACAGATAAGTTAGCATATAGAACTCCAATTAACCAAAACCAAAATCTACAGCCAGGCATATCATAGTCAAGATTTCAGAAATTCAACACAACAATAGAATCTTAATATCTATTAGGGAAAAGAAACAAATCACCTATAAAGGAAAAGCTCATCAGAAGTCCGACAGCTGACTTCTCAGCACAAACTCTCAAGTCGAGGAGAACATGGAGTGAGGTATTTTAAGCTCTAACAGAAAACCACTTTCAACCTAGACTGATGCAGCCTGCAAAACTATCTTTCAAAATTGATGGATAAATAAGGTACTTCCATGACAAACAATATCTGAGGAAATTTATGACCACCAATTCAGCACTCCAAAATGTTTTGAAGGACACTCTAGAAAGAGATAACAATGACTACAACTCCATGAACCCCAACGGAAGAAATTTATCAGACAAGGCAGACAAACAGAAGGATCAACGAAAAAAGAGGGGGCGACTGACAACAGAAAGGAACATAACAGGCATAAGTCAATACTTATCAGTTATAATTGTCAGTGGTACTGGTCTCCACCAATCAAAAGAAACAGACCGGCAGAATGTATCAAGAAGCAAAATCCAATAATACGCTGCATACAAGAAACACATTTAATTCAAAAGTACATTCATGGACTGAAAGTCAAAAGAGAAAACAATTATCCATGCAACAGGAACTCGAAAAAAAGAAAGAATAGCTATTTTATGTGCATATGAAGTGAATTTCAAGCTAAGACTGATCAGGAGAGATATGATCACCATATCATAGTAAAGAGAACAATCCAAAAGGAAGAGATAACAATCACAAATGTATGTGCGACAAATCCTAGTGCACCCAACTATAACAAATATTAACAGGCCTGAAAAATCAGATAAGCACTAACACAGTTGTATTGAGGGATCTCAATACCCCACTGTCACAAAAAGACAGATCAGCTAGACAAAAAACCAGTAATCAAATATTAGAACTGAATCAACCTGTGAACAAATGGACTTAGGAGATGTCTAGAGTGTTTCACCCACAACATCTAAATACACATTCTTCTCAGTTTCACATGGTACATCTTCCAAAATAGACCACGTACTCGCTCATAGAACATAATTCAGGAATGCAAAGGAATTGAAATTCTTCCATGTATATTATCAAACAATGGTGCAATGAAACTGGAAATCAGTGGCAAAAGAGACCATGAGAATTTCATAAACACATGGAAGTTAAATAGTACCCTCCTGAACAACCACAATGTGTCACAAATGAAATTAAAGAACAAATTAGATAACTTCTACAGTTAGATAATAATTACAGTACAGCATACCAGAACTTATGGGACATGATGAAAGCAGTCCTAAGAGGGAAGTAAACAGCAGTGAACACCCAGGTCAGGGGAAACAGAGAAAGTGCACAGAAACAATTCAGTGGTGAATCACAAATTTCTAGAAACAGAAAAGCAGACTAAGCAAAAAGCTTGTACAAGGGTGGAAATCATAAAGAGCGGAGCAGAAGTTAACACACTGGAGACTAAGAAAACAATGCAAAGAATCAATGAATCAAAGAGTTGGTTCTTTAAAAGATTAAATAAAGTTGACAAACCCTTAGAAAACCTTATCAAAAAAGGAAAGAAAGGACTCAAATCCATGTAATTAGGAATCAAAAGGGTGAAATCACAACAAATCCTAAAGAAATCCACAAGATCATTTATACCTACTTTGAAAACTTGTATTCTACTAAGATGGAAAATGCAGAAGAAATGGACCAATTCCTAGATATAATTGAATTACCACATCTGAATAGAAAAGATATAAAAATCCTAGATAAACCAATCAATCAATGAAATAGAAGACGAAATTAAAAACTAAGCCCCCTCCCGAAAAAATCCAGGCCCTGATGGATTCACTGCTGAATTCTTCAAGAAATTTAGAGAAGAACTAATACCACTACTTCTCAAACTCTTTAATGAAACTGAAAGCAAGACAATACTCCCAAATTCAACCATGGAAATAAGTGTTATCCTGATACCAAAATCAGGGATCCAACTAAGAAGAGACTTACAGGCCAACCTTCCTAATGAACATAGGTGCAAAAATTCTCAATAAGATACTGGCAAACAGAATGCAGCAAATCATCAAGAAGATTATACACTATGACCAACTTATATTCATCCCAGGGATGCAGGGATTTTTTTTCAACATATACAAATCAATAAATCTCATACAATATATTAAGAGAGCCAAGGACAAAAATCACATGATCACTCGCCTCCCTGGTAAGCAGCTGTGGCTCGACCAAGTGGCAGGTGATCCAGGGAGAGAACCAGGCAGCCAGTGTCTCCCAAGATCCACTCCATGTTGGAACTTAGGCCGCTGGGCAACAAAGCAACCCACTCGCTTCCCTGATAGGCAGCCATGAGCCTAGCCGCACATGGGCTGAGAATCAAACGTCCCTCCCCCACCCCCATCCCCATTAGCATATGGGAGCCAGAGGTCTGAGCATCCCTTGGGAGGTTGACTGTATGTAACATAGCAAATATGGGGGATTTCCTTCTTCCATCTCTGTGAAGGTAAATGTTGTTATCACTGTTTTCCTTTGTCCTGATTAATTGGATTGCTCTAGTCAATATGCTGTTCTGATAGGTTTTATGATGTTCTGTATTTGGTTTAATTTTGCTACACCTGATTGAAAAGGACAACTATTGTGAAGATAACAAGATATTCTATGGTACCTGTTACTGTTATCCCAGTAATGTGCTATGATGTTCTGTAGCAGTTTCACTGCATTGTTTCGATTGGCTTTATTCTGTCTTGTTCTGTTGTATTTTACTACCTTCCAAATAAATAAATAAATAAATCGCATGGTCATCTCAATAGATATAGAAAAAGCTTTTGACAATTCCAGCAGCCCTATAGAAAATTGGAATAGCTGGTCTTTATCTCAGTCTGATAAAACTATAACAAACCAGCAACATCATACTAAATGGAAGAAAACTAAAATCTTTCATTCTAAAATCAGGAACAAGTCTCCAGTCTTATTCAACATAGTCCTGGAAACCTTAGCAAGAACAATTAGACAAGAAAAAGAAATAAAAGGAATAATGATAGGGAAGGAAGAAGTTAAAGTATCATTATTTGTGAATGACATGATACTCTATACATAGAAGACTCCAAAAACTTCACTATAAAACTACTACATTTCTTAACCAAATTCAGTAGCATAGCTGTATGTAAGGTCAACATTCAAAAATCAATAGCCAGGCATGGTGCCTGCCTGGAGTGTAGGTTCTGAGTTCAATCCCAGTAACAAAATAAAAAAGAAAATCAGTAGCTTTCCTTTTCATGAATAATGAACTCACTAGAAAGAAATTAGGGAAACAACCCCTTTCACTCGCAATAGTATCCAAAAAAAAAAAAAAAAGAAAGAAAAAGAAAATCCTAGGAATCGATCTATTGAAGGATTGTAAAAGACCT